ATATTTACTATTCTTCTGCCCTATAGTTTATGCAATTTGAACCAGTTTCCTTTCACAACTGAGAGATAACTTTTAGATTGTTTCGTTGTAGTTTCATAGGACAGAACTCAACACAAAGAGTTAGTAATCAAGTTCTACGCCTCAGAACTCTTTGGAGCTACTGAATTACATTCATGCATTATTGTAAAGTAATTTTTGTGTAATGAGCAACAATTTAATGTTTCAGTTACTGTTGGTGGTGCTTGAAAAATAATTTCAGCTGGCTATATAATATTATAGATTAAACAAAAATTTTATGCAGCTACTAACACTTTAAATATTTTGTTTCAAAATATTAAAACTTAGATGATATAGATCTACATTGTACTTAGCTTGTTAGGCACCATCAAAGATTCTTGATTATGTGATTTTTCTTGCACTGGGCCATCTTCATAGCTTATGAAATCATCATCACCAGAGCTGACACATGAAGATTGTGTTTCAGGCATCTAAATTAAGGATAAATTAGCTAAATAATAATTATATTGACAAAAAACCTTGCTTGATGACATATCCTTCATTTCAAAACTCGAATCCATACTGTTGTAACATAAAAACACAATCATACTAACAGAACAGATTAACCTTACCTTTCATCCTGAAGTTGGTCAATTCTTGGTGATCTTATTAATAATTCATTTTTCTTGCCTAGCATACCAAATGTTACACCTGTCATTCTAATCATCAAGCCTTTTACTCCTTGGGTTTTTTCAGTGTCTACCATTGCTCTAGCCTCCACTTCTTGAAGTTTTTGTTGTCTTTTGTCTTCCTCCTCTTCTTGTTGTCTTCCATTTTCTTCTACTAGTCGCCTTCTGTCTTCCTCCTCTTGTCGTAGTCTTGTGTCTTCCTCCTCTTGTCGTAGTCTTCTGTCTTGCTCCTCTTCTCGTAGTCTTTTGTCTTCCTCCTCTTGTCTTCGTCTTCGGTCTTCCTCCTCTTCTCGTAGTCTTCTGTCTTCTTCCTCTTGTCTTCGTCTTCGGTCTTCCTCCTCTTGTCTTCGTCTTTGGTCTTCCTCCTCTTGTCTTCGTCTTCGGTCTTCCTCCTCTTCTCGTAGTCTTC